CATACTACAGAACTTTACAATAAGCATTCAATGGTCCTCTGTTAAAGATAAACAGACAAGAATCACCAGACATTTGAGGAAAGTATTACAAAATGCAGAGAGTAAAACTCATAGGAAAAAAAAAAATGCAGCTCAAAAGGAAACAGTCTGTGCAAGCAGATGAAAACTTTAAAAACTACCATTAAACTTAGAAAGATAAAAGAAAAATCACATTCATAAAAAAAGAGAATACAAGATAACAGAATACAAAACAAGTATACAAGAAGCAGTCAGAGAACAAGAACGTGCTCTTGGAAATTATAAATGACAGAAATTTAAAAACTCAATACAAGGCTTAGAAGAATACGTCAAGAGTATCTCCCAGAAAAGAGAATAGGCAAAGACCTGGAATATAAGTGAGAAAAGTGCCTTTCCAAATATATTGGAAGATCAATATATTAGGGATCTGGTATAATAAGACTTACAGAAAGAAACTAAGAATACAAGCGATAAAATTAAGAAATACTTGGAAAATTTCTTAAAATTGAAAGACATGAGTATTTAAAGAGCACAGAAAAATGTATAGTAATATAATACTCACTGTGAAGTTTCAGAACATTAGAACAAATAGGAGATCTATAAATTTTCAGAGAGAAAAAAATAAGATCACTAACAAAGAATCAAGAATCAAAGATGTATTGGACTTTTCAATACTGAAATTTAGAAGAAAATGGAGCAACACTTTTGAAATACTAATTAAAAAAATGATTTCCAACCAAGAAATCTACACTCAGCCAAACTATTAAATGTGAGGGTAGAATAAAGGTATTTTCAGATATAAAGCTCTCAAAAAAATGTATGCATCCTGAACCCTTCCCTAGAAAGTTACTGCATGATGCACTCCTCCAAAATGAGGAAGTAAACTAAGAAAGAGGAAGGCATAGAATCCACAAGACTGGAGACCCAACATGAGAGACAGAGAGAGAGAGAGGAGGGAGAGAGAGAGAGAGAGGAGGGAGAGAGAGCGAGAAAGAGAGAGAGAGAGGTAAAGGGAATCTGTAGAATGATGGTGAAGGTGTCATCCCAGGATGACAACAGTTTGGGTGAAGAGGTAAAGGATGCAACATTTTGTAAAATAAGTTTTCAAGTAAGCATGATGGAGAAAAGAATATGTGAGTTGAGAGTGAGAGAGAATTATAATGATGAAATACTGAAACTATTCTGGATCAGGAGACAAGTGTGGACTAGACGAGAATGATAGTGAAAAAGTATCAAGATCCATGGTTTGAAGGTCTCAAAGAGGTAGGAAAAGGTTTTTTAAGAGGAAGAACTAGTACAAATGAGCTAGAAGGACAGGAGGTGATAGTCAGAGAGCTTGAAGCTGGGTATCTGAGGGGTACTGTAGATGTTAAACCAATTTTCTATTTTTCCTGTTTAACTTGAGGGGTGACTCAGGGGTCTCGAGGATTTGTGAGCTTGTTTTGCAGGAGAAAGAGAACGCCTTCAGGGAGGTTGCGATCACTGGATGGCCAGATGGCCAGCCCTCAGCAGCTGTTGAAGCCTAGAAGTCAGATTGCCCAGAGGCTTATCGGGAGTGACCCCTTTGTTTCCCTGAAGCCCCTCCTGCCAAGCCCCTTAGCTCTATAAAATCCCCGCTTTCTGTTCTAGGGGAGGTGGATTTGAGCGAACCCAGGCTCCCACCTACTCATTTTGGACAACTCAAATAAACTTTTCTCATCTCCAAGCACCAATGTCTCAGTGTTTGGCTTGCTGGTCATCGGGCACAGGAACTTGAGATTAAGAGGTTCAGTATCAAGCTTATGAGTGATCAAGCTGTCACAGAAGAAATGGTTACTACTGATGGCAAGGGAGAGTGCAGCTGATGGAAGGAAATATGGTGGTCAAGTAATGAAAGCCCAGATTTGGAGTCATCTGCATGGATACTGAAGTCACTCATGAGGATGGCAGAAGTAGGGGTATAAAGAAAGCAAGTCAAACAAGAACTAAAGTATTCAATGAATGGAGGGAATGGATTGAGAGAAATGACCTCTAGATTCATAGCTGACAGCAGCAAGAAGGGGTGGAGGATAATATATCCACATGGCATGGACTTCATGGGGCATTTTTAAAGAAAGGACACACCTACTCCAAACCCTCACCTTGAAACACAAGAGGAATGCTAGAAAACAAAAAACAATAGGCATCGCTGGAATAGGAAGAGGTATCCTCAGATGTCCAGTTTCAGTTAAGGCAAGAAAATTAATAGAACTTTCAGAGACCAGGTTGTTGATATAAAGGAGTTTTCTGATCAAAGAACAGGAGCAGAAGCTGGCAGAGTATAAGATGATGGGGAGTGGGGGAATTGATTAACTTAGGGATATACAAAGGATGTAGGAGTTGCCAGGGAACCATAATGGCAATAACGGACAACAGAGAGCATTGACTCGTGGTGGCTTCTGAAGAAATCAGGGATGTGAAGCACGATGGAAGTCATCATGGTAGTCTCAAAAAACTCTAGGCATTGGTTCAATGGGCAGTGTGGTTCTAGTACCAGCTACGTTGGCCCATCTAAGAGCTCATTAGAAATACAGAATCAAAGGATCTAACCCAGACTTAATGAATCAGAAACTGCACTTTAATAAGATCCCTAGGTGTGCACAATAAAGTTTGAGAAGCATTACTCTCGTTATTCACCTCTAAAATATGGGCACCTCTGTTTTCTCCTCTAGCTCCTGGCACTAGACTCACCAGAGGCTGAAGGTGTTGACTCTGTTATGGACTGTGTCTCTCCAAAATATCACTGTTATGATACCTCATTGATAACCACATTACTGGACTGTAAACTTCTTGAAGATAGGGACCATTTTGTGTATCATTAGTCTCTGATGCCTACTGCCATTACAAAAACACAAAAGATATTTCCTAAATATTGTTAAAGACTAGAGTTGTTGAAGATTAGACAGCAATAGTGACTATATGTGTGCAAAAGAAAACTTCTCCAGTGTAATTGGGCTGATAGTTGATTGATGATTTGAAAAAGGTAGTAAAAATAGTAAGCCATAAAAAAGAAGATACATATCAAATATTTTTAACTTAAAACACATACACACAGAGACACTCCTATATTTGTATGTATATTAATTCCTTCACAAATATTTTGTGTAAGGCTAAGGTCTTTTATTTGAGCATGTACTGGTTTATGAAAATTATGCAACATCTTTGCTGCACAAACCACACTAAAAATGCATCATCTGAAGATACTTCATTTTGCTTTCTTTAAAGTGAACTGTGAAACAATTTGAGTGCAGAACCGTCCTATTTTTGTTTTCTCTATCTTTTACAGTTCATATCTATACATAACTTAGCAGCATTGTTTTAAGAATTTGACTTTTTTCAGGTTTTCCCGAAGCATTCAACGTTTTCTCAGAAATAGCAGCTCCCTATTTTTTGCACTGATATTTTGATGGTTTACATATTATTTAATTAAATTGTCTACCAACAGTAGGGCCAATTCTTTGGCAATATGGTGACTTAGAAGTTCAGCATCATTGTTTGTAGTAATAGGCAATTTCAGCGTATTGCTTATTTTCTCCTATGGTTAATTGTGTGGCCATGTCCCAGTTTTCAGTGAGCCTACCCATCAGGTTGACCCTGGCAGGTTTGGCAGTGCAGCTCACCAATCTAGAGCTCTTGAGACTTGGTCCTTTGGAATGAAGGCAACATGCCAGGTCTTCTGCAGCAACTAAACCGTTTGCCATGGTAGCTTCAAATTGAGCAAGAGTTTCACAATTTCACACTCGAGTGCATGCAAATCTCTCAGATGGATGGACAACCAGGCTCCATAAATAACTTCCTTTCAGCACTGTTTCAAAACTCAGACTTTTCAAAGACACACCCTTGCCCCGAAGGGCAAATCCCTAATGAAATGAGTATTATGACACTTGAGCAACAGCCTGAGGCTCCAAAATAGGTAAGAAGGACTCTTCCTTTGACTGCATTTAACGCAGCCATATTAAAATTAACCTAATCTAAATAGATTTTGGTTGGATCCTGACATGACAACACATGACTAATACACAGAGGGCACTCAGATTTGTCTTTTTTTTTAAAAAAAAAAAGCTTCACTTAAGTTCACTTATAAAATATCTTTGAAAATTTGTTTTATTTTGTGAGATATGACAAACTCTAAGAGCAGTATTTATTCCCGGATGTTCACTCTAGAGTAACAAATTGAGAAAACAGAAATTGTACATGTAAGTGGGCACTAGTGTATCTTTCACAATACATATTAGTATCAGCTATAGTAATAAAGAAATATCTTTACTTATTAAAGAAGTATTAAATATGAATAATGAGCTGTCATCTGCATCATAAAATATAACATCATAATGTCACTCACTATGCTATTTTAAAATTATTTATCTTTCTACTCCATTAGACCTCAGCTCAAAGGCAATATAAGTCTTACTCTGCTTACCATAACTCCTGGCACAAAGTTAAAAACACAATAAATGTTAGTTGAATTGAAATAAAAATTGGCATTGTAATAAGTTGAAGAATGCAGTTTCGTTTTAATGCAAGTTCAAAGTTACAAACAACGAGAAGATGGGGCCAATAATTAAAAAATATTTTCTTTTTTACAATTGAGGCTCTCCCAGCTTAAAGTAAAAAGCCAATATACTTTACTTTTTAAATAAGAATACAAGAGATCTATATATAAAATGACCAAAAAGAAAAAAGTGTTAAATCTCCTAAGTAAGCGACACATCTTTAAAAAATTACCCTATCATATGTCAAGGAAAGTTATCAGAAATTAGTACAAAATTTTCTAAATATCTAACATAGACTCTTCTCCAGTCCCCATTTTTTATGTCATTACTATCAAATGTTTGAATTGTTCTTAAGAAACATCTGACGGCTCTACAATCGGTGCTTAGAAAGTCAGTATACAAAATTCATGCTTCCCCCACCTATTATCAATTATATATTTTATCCAAAAAAGAAAAAATCTTAAACAATTCCAATAGTGAAAAGGATTTGTTTTATTGTGTTTTCCAAATAGATAGAAATAAGAAATATTTTTTTGATGAGAAAAAATTCATTACCAAGACAATCTATAACTGAAACAGTAACATATAAAATTTAGCTTTAAATGAGTCAGGTATTCTGCATTTGAAATTCAATTTCACAAACATTCAAGATTGGTGAATTTTGACAAGAAAAAAGACTAGGAGAAAGGAAAAGGACAACTTTTCAATAGACAGTAACTTATAAATTGTTTTTTAATTGCTTTGGGAAAACACACAGTATAGTTATTTAAGAAATGTCTTTTAAGGAAGACTTAAGTGCTTCAGGTCAAGTGGGCTTCAGACTAAAAAATATTGTAAAATTTGCCAAGAAAGTGAAATGTTAAAAATATTCTTCTCCTTATTCATTTAATTTCATGTTTAAGGAAACATAAGGCAAAATAAGTTTACCTGTATTTTTATATAATAAATTCTAGATCTATAAAAATTTCCTGGTTTGTACACAAAAGCCAATGTTTGACCTTCATTGATCCATTTCTATGTAGTTAAAAAAATACAGTATCAAATCTTTCTCCCACCCCCCAAAAAACTAGAAGAAATATTTTAAATCATCAGTGTGTGAAGGTAGCTATGCATATCCTCAAGTGTACAAAACACACAAATATCAGTTTATTTGGAAAATTACTTTCATCATACTGTAAACATCTCTTCCCCTACATCTGGATATTTCAAAATAGTCTTTGGTATTATTAGCTATTGTGCTTTGAAACGGAAACTTAAGGGATTTCTGTAGCAGTGCTACATAGACATTTTAAGATATAAATAAGAAAAATGCACTTGGAATAAGTTATAATTAGCTGCTTTTGCATAATTTTCAAAAACTACAGTGTATGCCTAGTCACAGTTTTATCAGAAAGAATATCTCCTTTTTCAACTCCTTAATTTTAAGGAACACTTAATCATTTTGGCTAAAAATCCATTTTTGGAGTGGATCTGATGGATTGCATGACACTAAGCTTGGATGTTCTCCATTTGCTGAAAGGCACATTTTTAGGAATGGATTATATAGAAGTTGATCCTAGAATAAGAGGAAACAAAACAGACATTAAGTTTCAAGACTCATTGTTAACTGATAAATATGAAAACTACTTCATGGTCTCATGGACGCTACGAGAGAAATGCATACCAAATATACACCATTCTTAACTTTTAATCTTTCTAAGATCAACTATGTTTGAAAAAATCTTGTCAGTTTCTGGTAAACACCACCATTTATGCCACTATTGTTCGATTTACAGAAGGTATTACATAAACGAAGAGAGGTATACAGAGAAAGGTCTGAATCAAGCTTTCAAACAAGACACAGTCCATTAATATATCTGTAAGTGACAAACTCTTTAAAAAATCATAAGTTATAAAAGTCAGCCTTATAATATTCTACTATGGCACAAAAAAATTTTTAGGTAAAAATTGCTATGTTCCAGCTACGCCTTAAAACATATGTTTAAAAACAGAAAAGACTTTTTATGTATTCTCTCAATTCCAGATTCATGAAAAAATACTAAACCAGGGAGGAAAGAATCAATCACTTTAGGTGAGAAAAAAATAATGATTTTTTTCTCTCTGCCAGGAAAAAAAATGTGACTGTCGTAAGAAGCATTATAAGAAACTCTAAAATGACAAATATGGGCAACTATTATTAATTATTCACAGAAGTGCTGATCTGCATAAACCATGATTTAACTAAGTAACTTTACAATTATTTTGTTCCTAACAGTATTTAATTCATAGATATATTCTCTCTTACCACATGGGTAGACATACATAATAACAAAGTTAACAAAGACAGAAAAATTCTGATAGATAATGTCAATATACTATGTTTCATGCATTTTCCCAGAAAAGCAATTGGAGCTAACCAAAATAATTACATAAAGAGGTGAACTAATTGTACTGAGGTACCTTCTGGATCTCCCATATCTGTTCTCCAGTGGCAACTGTCTTGTGACCTTTGTAGGTACATGCCTTCAGCTGAACGAGACCTTGAGCAGCATGAAGACATAATTCCTTCTGGATGTTATGCCGAATTTCATGTTGAGCAGAGTATTCAAAGTACTGTAAAAGGAAGAATGCTGTTATTGACAAAAGCACCCTATTTCCTCAGTTGAAAAATAATGGTCCAATAAGAAAAAAATCAGCAACTAACTGAATAATGAAGTCATGTGTACTTCAACAAAATAATACAATAAAAATAGGTATCAGAAACTAAGCTGAGTTTTTATGATGGAAGATTACTATACACTTTCTCCAGCCTATCAGCAACAGGTAGTTACTTAATTAAGAAGGTACTGTCTTCCTCCCCATGTCAGAAATTGGAAGTTATCAGGTAGGATGGAAGCTAGGACCTGTATGCCACAGAAAAGGGCCTGGAAACTTCTAGCAACCACATTAACGGCCTCTTTCCTCACAAGTATTCCTTCTCTCTTATTCATCTAAATTAATGGCATTTTCATTTAAACTAGGAACATTTACATGGGGTACTCTCCATGTATCAGTTTTCTTGCCTGTAAAATGGGTAATTTAATAGCTCCTATCCTATAGGGTTATGAAGATAAATGGGTTAATACATGTTAAACACTGAGAACAATAACTAGTACATGGAAAGCATTTCATACATTTTAGCTATTGTTACTATTATTGATGCTTCTCTCTCCCAATAGATCCAACTAATTAGTCCCTTAGTCCTACTGAATTTTCCTCTTACATATTACCATCCCACATATCCTTACTTCCGTATCCTCACTTCTCTTGTTCAGGCACTCGAAATCTCTACAGCAACATCTCCAGCTACCTCCAATTTCTGCTCCTATAATCCAATCCACTCTGCTGCCAGTTAGTCTTTTATAACATTGATTTTATTCCCTGCCTCTTCTTAAGTGAGTCAGAGTCATGGCTATTGCTAAGATAATGTCCACACCTTAATTGGAACATGAAGTCTTCCATTTTCAATCTTACATCAACTATTGCCTCAATTATATGCTATGCTTCTTTCACACAACTCTACCAATGCAGAATATGTGTATCCATAACTTTAAGATTTTGCTTTACTGTGCTCTGCCTAGAATATCCTTCTGGATCCTTCTCAGCCTAGCTAACTCCTTTTCATCCTCCAAAAGCCAATTCAAATATTACCTTCCTCTTTAGTTTTCCGTGAATTTGTCCTACTGCACAAAATTATACCCTTTTCAGGGTTCCTACAGTCCATCAGAGACAATCTTTGTAGCCCCCTATTAAAATTTTGTGTGTAGATAGCTGGCTTCCCCAAAGAACAAAGCCAGGCAGTGTATCTAGTAATAACATCTATTACAAATCAAATCTTTCATAATGTTGACATTCCAAAGATAAAATAAGTGAACAAAATTGATTTTTAATAATGAAATAATTAGTCTTAGCACTAATATTTATTGAGCCCTTATTATGTGCTAGGCAGGGACCGTTCTAAACCCTTTATGTGTATTAGAGTAGGTACTTTACAAACATTAGCTGAATTACTCTTGAGTTCCCCTGGTCTTAGTCTCATGCTTAATTTATCGCCTTCCACAAATATAATATCAGTCATTTTTATAACTGGTATTTCTTCAGATGGAGACATTGAAAGCAAATGGGTTTAGGTCATGAAAATAGCACTCTGGCTATACTTCTTTAAGAAAGATAAACCTTGGGATCTCAAAGATAATAAGAAAGGCTGTCCAGTATTTTACTTTACTCATATTATTAAAAAAATCATTAAAGGGAATTTAAGGAATGGCAAACAGCTGAAGATACTTAGGCAACCAAAGAGTACATAATTAGCTAGCTGAGAACATTGGAGAGACTTACAACTTAGAACCAGGACAAATACCCTGGAAGAGACAGTGGAAGAAGCAAAGCATTACATGTCACAAAGCCATACTGACTTAAACTGCATTGCACCAGTATATTAGTCAGTTTAGTCTCATTATCAAAATACTTATTTTTACCTGGCATTATATATACACAAACTATTACAATCAAGTTTTATGTTATAAAAATATCATTATTCGTTCAAAACAGTAGAAGGGAGCATGAGGAAATGATCAAGTTAGATGATATCTCAAAAACTCTGAGCACTCAAGGAACTAAAATTCTCAAAGCAGTTTAAATGCAATGCTTGAATGAAAATAAAATTTAAAGGAAACCAAAATAAAATTGGTTAGAGTGATAGAAGCCAGAGGCATCTTCTTAAAAATATAAACCAGAAAATATTATTCTCCTGCTCAAGACCCTCAGATGGCTTCTGTCATGCTCAGAATTAAATCCAAGTTCCTTAATGAGGTCTGCAAAGCCTTATATGACCAGGCCCCTTATTGATGTCTCTGACCTCATTTCCCACTCCTCTCTTCCTGCTCACTCTCCTCCAGCCACACTGGCTTTCTGCTTGCTCCACTGACCTCCACTGGGCCTCTGGCCATGCATTCCCTCTGCCAGGATGTTCTCCTGGAACATCGTTCCTCTCCCAACTCCTTCAGGCCTCCACTCTAAGACCACAAAAAGGTCTTCCTGAATATCTGAAAATAACCCCCCCGCCCCCTCCCACCCACACATTATCTCCCTACCCTAGTTTATTTTTCTTCATACCCAAAGTTATATATTTATTTTTTTTCTCTCCTTCTAGAACACAAGCTCTACGAGATAGGGACTTCATCGTTTTCACTCCTATAATAGTTCAAGTTATATTATCGGCTCTAGACAAATATTTGTTGAAAAAATATGTGAATTATTTCTCCATCCCAAAATTTCTAAAAGACAGACATATTCCTTTTATAATTTAAAAATTATTTTAGAGACAAAACTATAAAAACATCTCTATGGCAACAAAAAGAGAAAAACAGACAAAACAACGTATAAAATATATCTTCAACTTTTATGATCAAATACATGTAATGTTAGAGGAAGTCGGAGAGAAATTTATAAGTATATTTAGTGACAAGACTTTTACAAACGAGGAAATATTTCTCATTGCTTAAAACCTTAATTTTTACTAGCATAGTCTAGTGTTATTTCCAAAAGAATGCTATTATTTATGCAATTAGAAAAATTTTTAAATATGCATATATACGTACACACATACACACACATATATACATATAGAGGTATATATGTATATAGATACAGGTATATATGCATATGCGTATATCTGTGTGTGTGTAGCTCCATCTCACTTCAGAATGACACCTTGACCATCCAGCGATGGATCCTGCTCACTAGCTAAGGCTTCCGGGCATCTGCATCATCTGCCCTCAGTACAGTCATAGGTTTGGATGAGCAAGGATTGGAACTAGATAAGCTGAAACTGATGAGTAGGAAGACACATGGCAGAGTATGGGCCAGGAGATAAACTGACCCTTTCTTCTTAAAACTGACATCATCCAAGTCCCATTCTGTTAAAATAGGACATCATGAGTATTTAATATTGTGAAAATCCTCCACACCCTTCTTGGACTCTACACCAACATACATCCAAATTCCAGAAAAAAGACATACCAGGCTCGTCTCCTTAGTACACCTTTCTTCACACTTCTCTCACTCTGTTCTTATGCCCACCAGCCACCTTACTAACTCCTACATACCTTTCAAAAAATGTTTCCAAATGTTATCTTTCTCAGGAAAATGTATGGGCACCCAGTCTAATTCAGATGACCTCCTCCATACCCACAGAGCACTCTAACTGCTTTATCACAGACAACCTGACTGTAACCACTGGTTTTGAAATATAGATTTCCTGAAAGAGTTAGAATCTAAATTGCTTGAACTCAGCAGAGTACCTGGCACGCCGAGGTCTCTCAGTGAATTTGCTGAATGAACAAACAAGAGAAAAAGTTTAATCCTTCCAGGAGTTAACTTGTAAAAGGTAAGGAAAGGAAGCAAAAAACTAGAAACAATATTTTAATATGTTCTTTACCCATAGTAGGCCAAATGGGACATTTCACATTTGAGTCTTAATAGGTAAAACAGTCAGAGAGTGGTAATAAGCAGAGACGTCATCAATGAAGGAGAATCAAGAACATACCGTTTTTTTAGAACATATTGAAACAATATCATGGTCGACAAAAATAACTTAGACTGCTGCTCTTTTGGTATTAACACTTGATGTCATTTGCTACTGAATCCAGTTAAATATAGCCTTTGTGTAAAATTCTGCAGAATCACCATGCCTCATGCAACATCAAAGATCCTCACAGAAGATCCTATTTTTTATTTCAAATGGCATTATTCTATTACTTTCTCATTTGCCTTTCTACTGAATGCATCAGCAAATTCGAACTGTTTTGAGAGCTAGAATGAAAATCAAAAGAAAGTACTCTGCAACTTCAATACCAATTGCCAAACTTAATCTAAAAACAGTTCACACACCAGTTGACCTGAATATAAAACTGATTTAGGACTTCTGGAAAACATGCAAAGACTCACGTGTGTATGTAGGTGCTAATGAGGAGAGAAGATCTTTAGCGCAGTGCTCACCTGGTTTCCCCCAAGTCCGTGACACGTATACAAAATTAATGGTTTGCCTCCTTGATTATTTTCTCCAACATCCAGACATAGAGGCTGACCAAAGCTTTTAATCTAAAGGAAAATTTTCAAGTTATAAAAATAAATTTTTAAATCTATGTGGTATATATTTTTGCAATTAATTTCAGGAAGTACTGTTAATAATAATGTAAAATCTCAAAAGCAATAAACCAGAAAGTATTTCAGCAATTTTCCCTGAACCACATAAATGTTGCTGGTAAGGAGTATACCAAGTAAAAAGGAATAGGAAAATACTCACATATCCAGATATAACAGGATTAAGGTCTGGCACATATACTTCTGGATAAATATTGTTCAGATACCATGTAAAATTTTTACATTGAAGGCGGTGCTTTATTTCAAATCTTTTTGAAAGATCACCAAATGATTTCTGGAGAAAGATGAGAAGTGAAGGGAATACTTAATCAAAACAGCATTGATAAAGTACTTCAAATGCTATTATTTGTATTTATATTTAGGTCTTAAAAAAAAAAAAATTCTGGGCCAAAATGCAAAATGCAATTTAACTGCATTCACCACTCATTCAGACAGCAAGTATGCCTGCCTGCTCGTTTCTGGCTTCACAGAGAACCAGGAACCACTGTGGGGCTGACATAGTGCTATTTTATTCTTCCTTTTTGCCGCAAACCTCCCCCACGGGACAAAGATCTCTAGCAAAATGCTGTGGGCAAAGAAATAGTAGTGGCAGCATCCAAAATTGATCCCAATTTTATATCCAAAAGTGATCTGTAAACTGAGATGTGAGAAAGCAGGTATAGAGAAACAGAGCCAACACATAATGTAATTTATATCTTTTCTCTAGTCAAGACCAACAAAAAACAACAGTTGGGAATAACTTTAAGATTTAAGGGTGTTGCTTACTCTTAATAGTATCGCCTAATGATATCCTAACAGTAACAATGTATAAGTAGAAAAAGGCAAGTTTTTAATTAATTGCATTTTATTTTTCTTTATTTTACAATTTTTTTAAAGAGCACTATTAAACTAAAAAGGTATTTAGTCTATAGGCAAAATTTTAAAGAAAAATAATATTATATTTGGTACCCAAATATATGAAAAGGTAAATACTCAAGCTTATCAATTCAGCTAAGAAAAATTTTTTCTCTGCCAACTTCAATGTCTTGAACCCAGATGTTTTAGCAACAAGTATGAAACTGTAAAAGACTTCTGGCTGGCTTATGCATTTTACCACCTAGATCAATTTGCCCTGTGGTAAAAACAGGGGTTTGCTGGCTCATTGGCACCTTTGTGGGTGACAAGAGAGCATAAGCTGTATTTAGCACCCACTTGCCTGCTTAGCCAAGTACCCTTGTGCATTACACAATCTGCCCAATTTGTCTTGGTGGCCTTGGGTAAAAAGATAGAGATCTAACCCAGCAGTGGTCTGACTTTGCATACTACTGACAGGTTACAGGGAGACCCTGGAGACCAAAGAAAAGGTGGAAAGAGGTTACCACCTTTCTTTCTGACAGTCTAAATGTTGATGCCCTTTAATCCCAATCCATACCGTACCCCCACAAGTTAGCACTGTTTGTTACAAAGAGTTCGGTGCCCATCACTGAGGCATGTTCTTAAACTGCCTAGTTCATTTACTACACCCGATATTAAAACAGCTGGAACTCAGTTGTAATGTATTAGGCATCACGATTCTGCAGAGCTTTTATCTACGACAGGGCAATAGCAACAATAGTATCGTACATTTGTTAGCACTTATTTCCTTATTTCACAGCTACTCTGGGAGATTGGCAAGTATTTCATCTCTCAAGACAGAGAAGGAGAGCGAAGAAACTTGGTTGAACACACACTCCATGTCCTGCCAATCTCCCACCCACCCTACTAAGTGCCATCCCCATTTTACAGTCTCAAGGGGCTTTGCCGAGGTAACCCCTCCAGTGAGTAGTGAAACCAGAACTTGAAATGAAAAAGACTTGATACTCCTGGTTCACTCTCCTGCCATATTCTGACATTGTCTCCATTTCCAGTTCAAAGCCACTTAGCAGCTTGATGTAGGTGTTAATCGCATTACCTAAAACCAGTTAAAATCGGTTCCACTTAGTTTAGAGTAAAATACTGAGCCACGGCAGTTACAAAAACTAATATCTTCCACCCTAAAAAGGAAACATCAAGCAGAATGCCTAAATTTTTTAAAAGTAGTTTACTCGATTTTTCCTTAAAAAAAAAGAAAAATGGCATCAATAAGTTATATATTTTAAGAATTAAAACACCTAGCTTCAAAAATAACTTTTTAAATCTTTTGTACTTGAGTTGACTCAAATAAGTAAAAGAACATGTGAACTTGGTATAGATTTTTACTGTAACCTAATTACTTAGCTCTAACTTACTTGTTTAACAATTTTTGCTGCATCTGTGTTTCTCCTATAAAATATTTCCTTGTATTCATCCATCCAGACTTCTGCAAGGCGAACTTGGTTGCGAGCAATCACCTGAGTGCCTTTTGGAAAGGAATGAGGGCTTTTGCTGCGAAAAACATGTCCAACAACAGAGCAAGGCATAATCTCCAACTGCCCACCACATTGCCATACCTGATAATTAATGATATTTGTTTAAATTTACAGTATTTTAGAAAAATCAAAGTGTTGCTTTTAAGTTTACCTTTAAGATATTAATAAAAACAAAATATACGAGAGATTTATTACAACTTCACAGATAGTCTCTGTCCTCTGCCAGTTCAACTTAAGTTCTTAAATATTAAGAACAATTTTAGTAAATGGTACAAACACTAAAGACAACAAAAGCATATTTTCAGAAAGTAATTTAACAAAATAGTGATATCAGATCTTTCATTAAAACGAATCCCAAAATTTCTTTTCGTTGAAACAATTATGCAAGCTCTCCAATATACATAGAAGACCAAAGGCTCTTCTGCATCTGACTTCCATCTTCTTATACAACCTACATGGTCACTTATCTTGAACAACAGATTCTCTGTTCTATGGCATAAACTGGCAGTCTTGGAGTAAATGCACCCAGACTCTATTTACTCCTTGCATATTCAATTTTGTAATCAAGAAAACAATTTCAGATACCCACTATTACCAAAGTACTATCTATTAAATTTGTGAAGTAGTTGGTCATTATAAAAAACTCATATGTACTTATTTAGAGATAAAGGGTCAAAAAAGCTTATTTGCATTAACTCTAAATAAAATGGCAAATCATTATATCAACACCTAGTCACTTAAATATCAAATTGGTTCTGCCATAAATAATCACTAAGCAAAAAATCTAAAATGAAGTCATGCCTAATAGAATGTGCTAGTATTAGGGCAAGTGATCATATTCTTTCTTTTTTAAACAAAAGAGAAAATTCAGTAATATGTTCAATTTAACAAACTGTGCCTGAGGTCCAATATGTGCTAGGGGTTGGGAATACTGAAAGGAATAAAATAAGACCCCTTCCCTTAAGAAGTTCAAACTTGGCTAAAATCATCACTGCCATTATGTGATGGAGCCAGAGGTAAAACTTAAATCTTCTAACTCCCAGTTCAGTTCTTTTTCCACTACATTCCAGCCTAAGGGATGAAAAATGAATGACAAAGTCATGCAGAAAATGAACTAATGAAATCAAATAAGCACATGTGGAGACCATCCAAAGTCTTTGTTTCTCATATTAACTTTTAATATGTATAGAAAAAAAAAAAAAGCTCATTTAATCCAAAGAGTTAAGTTCAATGTCCTTAAAATTATACATAAATGTTTTTCCATTCTGACTCCCTTGATAATCAAGTCATTTCCTGAAGCACTAGATTTCATTATATTTATCTTGGCTGGAATTCAGTAGCTGCAAGTGCATTAACTGGTGTTATTGCCTGGACACAGGCGTTTAATTGATTCCTCTTGTTACATTCGCAGCAATGAATAAATATTTTAAGTTACATTTTAAACGGAAATACCGTTATTCTAAAATTTCTAGCAATTAAATTTTAGAAAGCACAAAAAGTAAAGACTGCACACTTTCACGATAATCTGTATCAGCCAATTAAAACAAATATTTTATTATTTAATATGCTCTGTTTTTATAAACTTACTCTGAAAGACATTTCTATATTTTCACCTCCCCAGATTTCCATTTCTTCATCGTAAGTTCCAATATATTCAAAATACTCTTTTGATATGGAAAAAAGGCCTCCTGCAAAAGTGGGTGTTCTGAAAAATAATCCAGTTGAACTTTGTTATAAAAGTCAAATATGAAAAAAACCATATTTTAAGAGCAACTGAATTAAATTCACCAACAAATTAAAGAGAAATCACAATTGTAGAGCTTTTATATAGATTAATAAAAACTAAAGATGCTATCTTCAGAGTCAAGTTTTTGTGGGGGAGGAGAAATGCTTTAAGTATCCTTTCCCAGCAGAGCAAAATTATGGTGTCTTCTAACCAAGCTTAAAGATTCTTAAGATTATGAGGAAGACATAAGAGCTCACTTAATTATTTTTATTTATTTATTTTTTTGTGAGGAAGATCAGTCCTGAGCTAACATCCATGCTAATCCTCCTCTTTTTGCTGAGGAAGACCTGCTCTGAGCTAACATCTATTGCCAATCCTCCTCCTTTTTCTCCCCAAAGCCCCAGTAGACAGTTGTATGTCATAGCTGCATATCCTGCTAGTTGCTGTATGTGGGACGTGGCCTCAGCATGGCCGGAGAAGCGGTGCGACAGGTGAGAGCCTGGATCCGAACTCGGGCCACCAGTAGTGGAGCGCGCTCACTTAGCTAAGCCACGGGGCCGGCCCCAGCTCACTTAATTCTACTTGCTACTCGGTAAGGTGACGTGTAAGTAAGTACATAAATGACTTTTCAGTTCCCTACATATAGAATGTGTGTGTTCTTTATTTTGTTAGTGTGAGCTACCTTGGAGGCAATTACTGTAAAAAGCAAAGAGTACATACATATTCAAATAATTGAACTGTATATAAGACTTTGAGAGCAATCATCTTACTTAATTGGGTAGGTTTCATCTTTCCTTCTTTGCTTCTCATGATCAGGAAGTGATTCCCAGCCAAATGAAAGGCTCCAGTCAAAATTTCCACGGTTATGGTTACTTCCATAAGGAGAAGGTTTGTTGAATTCAAACGTGTTCATATCTATGGATGCAATATCTGGACTCACGACGGCAGTGTAGTTCTCTGCTATTCTGGCCAGCAGAGGCTCTAACCAACCATAGAAACACTCGCCTGGTAGGAACACAATTTTAATTAATTCAATGAAAACATTGAGGGTTTTTTCTTTTGTTTTTTTTGGAAAAGGGTTTACAGAGAAATGAAAATAAAGTCATTTGGGTCTTGAAGATTTATATAGGGGAGATTTCTTAATGGTTCCTTGTGAGGAGATGAGGGTAGGATGAAACAAGTAAAACAAGATTCAGCATAGTTAGGGAAATTTCCCTATACATGATTGATCTTTTTTTAACCTTAGAATGGAAACAAAATGATATGGATGTATTAAAGTTTCATATGATGTGTTTGTCTTTAAAATGGGCCATGAATCAAAGATAACTTGTTGCTGATCCATACTACATAGCCTCAAAAGTGTTCTGATTTAAATTTGTCTCCCTGAGTAAGATATAGTAATTCAAATCTTCATTTCTCTGAGTGAGTCTTAGGAGAAAATGAGGAATCACAACATTCTGATTTTAGTAGTTGAAGAAGGACCATTCAAACCTGCCCCAGCCCTACTGGAAAATGAGGCAAAGGAGTGCCGTGCAAAGTCCGGGCCCTGGTCACCGGCCAGGCTGTCTTACATAACACACAGACAGCTCAGGAGATGCCAGGCTGTGCAGTCCTACTCAGGGCTCCCCATCCAGTGGAGTTTGACAGTCATGGTCCAGGAGGACCTTCAGACACATTTGCCTGGAGGGGAAGAATGCCCAGTCTGACATTATTGTAAATTCGGACTAGAAGAGGGAATATTGGAGAATGAACCATTTCCTTTTAAAATCACCTTGAGATCTCTCTTCATTTTTTAAGTGCCCAGTATTAAGAGAATACTGGGTGTGTTAGCTCTAAGGAGACTCAAGCAAATCTAACAGGACTTTTGTAACAATTAGTGAAGAATAGAAACCACTTGTTGGGTCAAATATAACCTAAGGGCTGGCCAATTCACAGCTAAACACTCATACAGAGTAAGATCCACTAAATTTAGAGCTTGAGGGAGTGAGTGACATTTTAGTAATACCTAACGTGTACATTAAACATTGACTCTAAAAACACTTTCTAATACTTTATCTAGAATCATTGACGCTGAAAAAAACATTAAAATACAAAGAGGAAAAAAAAAAAACCAGCAGCAACAAAACAAACCAAAACTGCCAATGTTCATGGGAGAGATACCAGACAAAGCTGGGAAGGGGCACCCCTAACTTGGCAAAAGAGTGTGCAAATCTCTGGAAAAAACACAAAACTGAAATATAAAAATTAAAAGTGTCAGTAACTAGGACAAAGTTTAACGATAGGGTTGACTACACTTAAACAAACCTTCCACTAATTTTAAAGTGTAGGAATCAAGAATAACAAGGAAACACACTTTTTTTTTTTTTTTGACAGAATGAGCATCTGAAAAAAATCTCAGGCAAGGATAACTCACTGGGGAAACTGGTCACTGGTGGACAGTAAAGTTGAGGAGCCTTAAACAGAAGGAGGTAAGGACTCCACGTAAGTGAAAGGAAGTTCCTACTCAGAGCTGTCATCTGTGTGGGCCCTCATAGCTATAATGACCAGTTGAAAATGATGTTAAAAGAAAATGCAATTAGGCATTTAAAGAAAAGTCTTCCTTACCTTTTAAATTAGAGGGAGTGGGAAGGAAAATGTTACAACTGTGTTTATACATATATACTTACAGTGAGCATCTAAAAATGTGAGCGTTTCAGCTGTTGCTACTGTTGCTCCTAGCAACCGTGCAGTGATCAGACCTTTTCTCTCTCTTTGTCTGACTATTTTTACTATAGAAAATTGTTTTATATATTCCTCTAGTTTACCATGTAAATACTCTGTAAGAAAAAAAAATCAGAATTAACTCTTCCTAAGATTGTTTTCATATATAATATATGAAAGCTAATAAAGAAACCACAGGGTAATGATCCCCTCCACAGTTATAATCTTAGCAGTTGCACATATTCTTCCATTGAGGTGAAAATTATATCATCTTTATTTTAACTCTTTATTGGGGAAAAAAATCTATATATGCAAATGTTAACTTCTGAACTACCATAATGCATAACAGTATAACATATACTTATCCTGTATGTGTCATATGAATAAATGCAATGTATTTGGGGGAAGTGAGAGACTTCACATGAAGTAGACCCCAGGAGTTAAGAAGAGTCATTTAGAGGTCAGAGAAAATAGACTAAGGAAGCGAAAGAAACTGAATTTGGCCAAAAAGATACTTGGTACTTCTTAAAATTGGTATTTAAATCTGGAAATTTATAGAAAAATGCCAAGTATCAAAAAGATTCTCAGATATTTAGGCAATGAACAAAATAATTTAAGACCAAAATCTCAAGAAAAAGGCGAGCAGGAAAGTCCAGGGCTACAGCAGTTGGGAATATTTCTATAAAGAGTCAGCAGAAAATTTTCAAAAGCTCTGGAGTCCCCTGACAGAATTTTTTCCAGTAAAAATATGAAAAAAGAAAGGAGCATGTAAATCAGAAATGAAGTTTAAAAACAGACAAAATTTTAGTAATGGGTATATAATTTAAAATATTCAATATTCCAATTTGGATGAGATACATAATAAGATAAGCAAGAGTTAAGAAAGTAGGTGAAAGGAAAACACATTAATCAAGTCACTCCAGTGTTGTTCATATTTTTAAACAATTTCTTATTCCTGCTTTTTCACCATTAAATTCTTGATTCCTTGTTGAGTATATAACACAATTCTTCAAGTGGCCTTCTTGGGCCCATAGCACAGGCTCAAAAAGATTTGGGAATATTGAGAACATCCATAAATGTCCCGGTATGATGTTTGCTTCTGTGGGATTTCAGAAGTAAATGCATGACTCTGACTTTATCTGTGATTATATGATTTTTCAATTCTCCAGTGGTACACATAACAGAGTTGCTTATTGAAAGCTTAAACATTCATAAAGGAGGTGAGAGACCAGGAAGAACTTTTGTGGAAAAATAAATCTGTCCAAACACTGCTGTCTCAGAGTAACAGGTTAACTTTTTAAGCACCTTCTAAGTACTTCAGAATTAATTCTGAAATACAAGCAGGATTGTAATCTGTCTTAAAAATATAATCATAGATATTTGTTTTAATCATAGGCTTGCAAAATAGAAACTTATAAAACAGAAACATTTCAAAGGTCTTAATGCGGATTAACTTTTTAAATGGATCAATACAGATTCTTTAAATAAACCCTCCCACTGTTCGAATGTGTTAAGAAATTTTGATTTATCCACAACTTCCAAACTTCCTATAAATTTTTACCTGCCCCCTAAATAGTCCCCACCCACACCCTTCCTTCTGTGAGGTTAAGAGCACAAAGCTGTGAAATCACACCTCCCACGTTCAATTTACAGCACCATTACTTTTAGCAGTGTGACTTTGGGCAAGTTATTTTACCTTTTTGTACCTCAGTTTCTTTATCTGTAAGATGGGGATAATAGGACTTGACCTTACAGGGGGTTGGGAGGATAAAATGAGAGATTACTCTACAAATAAAGCATTTAAGACAGGGACTAGCACATGGCCTATGCTCTGAAAATGTTGATCATCTTTTGTTTGTTATCATTGGGATTTAACTATCTCTGTTACTTGATTATCCACATATTTATGCTGCTTTTCCCTAAGCAAATTGAAATCAGGGACTCTGGTTTCTACTTCACAAGCTCCTTTGCAGCAAGTAGGGACACATTTTCCACAGTGGGTACTCATTAGATAGCTCTTTGACTGATTCAATAAGACAAATCACACCAGTATGCAAAGATAGCCCTCGCCAAGAAAACTGTTTCAAATCTGTTGTTGACTGCTATAAAGAATTATAAAAATAATCAGACCCTTCGACCACACAGTCCTACTTTTACTAACTTATCCAAAGATATAATTCAAAAGAAGGAAAATAACAAGCACAAGGATATTCACTTCAGTATAATGTACAGTAATGTTATGGGATGAATAAAGGTGAACAGTTAAATAAAATGCATCTAGTTCACCATTGTCACTAAAAATAAAGTTTTGAAGGTAAAAGAAAAGAGCTAATAACAATGTTATGTGGAAATGTCCGATTTCAAAACTGGATTTCTGATATGGATATAATTAGATAAACATTATAGGCTTATTTAGACAGTGATTAGGAGAGAGAAGGAAAAGATTAAAATGGTTAAAACAGAAAGATTATGAATGGATACCTCTTTTCATTCTGATTTCCTTTAATTCTATTAATTTTGTTTGTGCAATAATAGAAGTTACCTTCAACTGAAGGCTTACTAGAAGTAGCCTTACTGTGCCCCTATTGCCCTGCTACTTGGAAAATCAAACAAAACAAAAATCATCTGAGAGGCGAGTTCAAGAAACCGAAGAAAGATTTCTAAGTTTTTGTTGGTCTGTTTTTTTGCTTTTTAAGATAAAACATATGAGAAGTATGCAGAACTTAATCAGACGTCACTTAAAACTCCACCGACTACAGTCCAACTAGATGGAAAGTATAAAAATTCAGAACAGATCAAACAGTAAATAAATTAGTTGATTACAATTGAGTGGTGAAGTAACCTGGGTAAGAAGATTGGAGATTCAAATCAGACATCTGCATACAGTGTGTAACTTGAATCCAGGGAACTTGAATTGTAAAACTTCCCCAATTGGTGGACAGGTTTCATATCCAGGTCAACGATCCTAGTGATAAGCAAACTTATTCCACCTAGATGTTAATTTACCTGGAGAACAAAACCTCAAATCACTCAGGATATGTGATTTTGAAATCATAGGAAAGTTTAGAATTGCATGTAGAAATAATTAAATAAACTAGGTTAATAATTTTATGCTTTATTCACTTATTACCATTTCTGAAGTCCGGATACATCTTATAATCGATGACATGTCACTTAATAGGCAGTGTCATTTTTTTGTCTGTTATCTTGTGGTACATAAAGTAATGATTTATTTTACAATAGATGGTGCTTTGGATTTGATAAAATATTACCTCCGTTTTACAGATGAGGAAACACCTAGTTAGTGCTGGAGCTGGAATTTGACCTTAAGGAATTTGGCTTCAAACTTAGGCTTATTCAGGAATAAACTTCATAATCATTGAAATAATCTGGATCTGTTTGGTATTTAAAATACTTGTAATGTTTGAAAATTTAGCAAATTAGAGTATTTGTCAGATTAGCCTTGTGATTCCAATTGAACATGTGTAACTTCATAACTGATTATCATAATTTTAAGTAGAAACACATTAAAGAATTTGGCTAACTTTGCAAACAACATCGGAATATTTAAAAGAGCCAAAATAAAACAGGATGTGGTGACTCAGTGATTTTTTACTACTCTTTTATATTATTAATATATTATTTATATTAACTCATCTAATCTTCAAAACAATCCTAGGAGTTATGCACCATTTATGTATTTCCTCAATTCTAAGTTGTACAATTGGATACTTCTTATAATCAGTGGCATGTTAGTTTTAATTGGCTGTAAGGGTTTTTTATTCTAGTAGTATATAAACTAATGACATACCATACAATAAATTTGATGAGATATGTCATTTTCCCCATTTTACAGATACAGAAACTGAGGCACGGGGGGTTAAGTAACTTGTCCAAGTTACATAGCTGGTTAGGACCAAAACTGAGATTCAAACCAAGGCAGCCTGACTCAAGGCTCAAGTCCGCGCTCTTAACCACCTTGCCTTACAATAAAAGTCTCATGCGAGGACTACAACGTTATGAATAATGATGTTTCATACATTTAACTCCAAAATATTCAAATATGGATATCCTCGGATTCTACTTCCATTCATCATACATACCATATATGCTATCATATTTAAGCTGAGATGGCATACAGAGAGTATAATATAACCAAATAGACTTTGAACAACACCACATGGATTTACTCAGGAACAATCTAATTTGCGCATGCTTTCTTACCATCTACACTAGCATCATCCACCAAAATGATTTCCTTCAGCAGTATGGCAGGTGAAGAATAGAGCACACTGTGGACAGTTCTAAGCAGTGTGGACCACGCTTCATTATGAAAAACTATTATGACACTAGTAGTAGGCAGGGGAGGACAGCGCTTAAATTTTTGTTCAATACATCTAGAAGAAGTCAAAGAAGTAGAAAAACAATTATGAATTTTATTACTTTGTTTCACAGTTATACCATTAATAAAATTATCATTACTTAACCTTTATCACCAAAGAAATGATAGTGGATAGTTTCTTTCTATGGAAGATGATCTTAATGCTATGTAAATATAAACAGATCAAAACAAAATTTTTTTATAACCAGACCACTCACCCAGAGATCATGTCCACTGATACAGACTACATGTCAAGGATTAAAACACGCTATTCTAAGCTTTCTCAACAATAATACAAATAACATTTTAAATAAGATAAATAACCTATAAATGAGACAACCCGTAAAAATGGTAAATATTTGTAATTGCTCAAATAAAAACCAAGTTTTTCTCCTTCCTTGTAGAAATCACCCATTTTTCTTATTATTTGCAATTTTTAAATAGTGCAACTTTATTAAATATTCATTTTTGTAGAGATTATCTTAAATCAGATACTTTCCTAAGTACGCAATATTTTCCAAGTTTATTTAATCAATTTACTTAATCTATACTTGAACTAAAAGGGAAAAAATAGCTCACTATAAAATCTATTTTCTTAAGATGTTCATCATTCAGCAAAAACTTAAGTACCTACCATATACTTTATGCCATGCTACGTTAAAGATTTTTGCTCCAATAATCCAATCTACTGTTCAATTAAATAAGACAGAATTTTAAAATTTCCTTTTTAAAAAACTATATTTAAAAATTTAAAATAAAATTTGTAAATCCATTTTAAAAGTCCTGTGCTCCTTTTGCCACACGAAACATTGATAGGGAAAGGAGAGAGATCCTAAGTAGTTTTTGACTAATTAGTGGTACTAATTTCACAATACGATTTCATAAACCCCATTTATTTTGAACGAGTAGCAGATTAAACTTATGGTTTAAAATTTGTTTTACATGTCATTTAAAGCAGTGAAATTAAAATAACTTGCTCGGGTGGTGAACATGATGTAAGCTATGCAGAAATAGAAGTATAATGATGTACACCTGAAACTTATACAATGTTATAAACCAATGTTACTGCAATAAACAAAAAATTTTTAAAAAAGATAAAAAAATGAAAAACAACAACAAGAACAAAAGAACATGCATGTACCCCCCCCAATAAGGTGGAAGAAAAACATCTGGGTGAAGCAGCCATTAAAGGAAATGGTCTTTTTCTGTGACAGAAGGTCCACAAGAACCTTGGAAGCTGTGATGGAGGAAAAGCAGATGTCGGCAATAGATAAATTACGCAGCAAAAAATACATGGGGGTGTGAAGGCAAGACTCACAGGTCACAGTGACCATGATGAGAAGGTTTCCCAGCAGAGTTGTGACATACACCCAAAGTAGGAAAAGAAATAAGACCAAGTTCAGTTCTTGATTCTAGGTTAGGCCAAGGAAAATAAATTCTTTTACCCTGGTGCAAAAAAAAAAAAAAAATAACTTGCTAAAGTGACTGCATACTCTCAGTCAAACCATCTGAAAACTCTGGCATATAGAAATGTGCTTAAATTATCAGTCACATGACCATCTGGCTTTGGGAGAAACTGGATCTATATTTCTAATGAGCATGGAAAAGATTAGCAATTCTTCAGAAAATATGTTCCTTGCTGATACAGGTTAAAGAAAGAAAGTATTAAATCTTCACCAACTCTTCACAGTTCTAGCTATCTATTCCTATCAAAAAAAAGGGTTCTTTATGTGCTTAGTTGTTTTTCACTTATTTTATGACTAATATTATTGAATATTATTGCAGCATCTCAATGCTAACTTGGGAAAAAAAGGCTTATCTTGAGCTGACTTTGATTGTCATGTCAAAGAATAAAAATCGTGCTTCTTGAATTGTGACATGGATTGCTTTTCGGTCAAGATCTCTTCCAAAAATCAGTAAAGTGTAATATTGCATTTTAACCTATTAACGTAAAAAAGGAACTATACTGTGCCCTGTTATAATAGCTATAATATTTATAGACATTCATTTGTTTCTTCACACATTCACTTAAAAATGATGAGCAACTTAACCTTGAAGCACAGAGATTAGAATCGAGGACAGTAATCTACACAACTTCAATATTGAGGGACTCATGGTTGGAGCAGGTATTTATGATTATAAATCTAGAAAAATATGAGTGAAGCAATCAATTTAAGTCTACTAAAGTACTTTTCTTCAAGTTCACTTCCAAATATAATTCTATTATAACCAGAAAGCAAAATATGTAGGCATTGTTTGCTTAGTTTGTCCATCTTACACTTTCAACAAATCTACAGACCATTTGAAAGCACTAGAATTCATTTTAGCCATCTTAAATGATCAACTAAGGACAGAGAGACAGCACAGTAGAATCTAGGGGGTAAATCTCAGTCAAAACACTGTATACTTGAGATAAACATGCAAACAAAGTGACAATAAAAATTCAATGTTGGCATCTCATAAAATAAAGAAAGACAGCTCTATAAATACGAGCATTTATTCAACAAAACTCTAAAGAAAGAATCATAACTGAATTAGTAATTATAACAATATTGTCCCTTAAAAGAAAGGTTACAAAACACAGGGCATTCTTAAATATAATTATAGCACTGGAAGTAGCCACAAAGTCTGTGACTTAGTTCATAAAATATTGTTATCTAAAAGTTCCAAAACCTTGGCCCATTTTTAAACATTTCTATTCTACAGCAATATACCAAGGAATAGAAACAACTCTCCGCCTCCTACATTTCCCGTAAAAACTGCCCTATATTTCCTCCTTAATAGATAAGAAAACTAAAGCATTTAAGAATAAAGGATTTCCTTGTGGTTCTATAGAGGTCAGATCTAGAATTCAGTTTTCTAATTTCTATGATGATAACTTTTCATGTGTGTAATGCTTCCCCAAACATAGATACGGATATCTAGCCTCAATAATCATAAGCAAAAATAATTAAAACAGATTAAATAAGTGGTATTTGCTGATTTTTTGTCTCAGAGTGGCTAAAGAACAAGCAACTACCTTAGCTAATGCCCCTCCCCTGCAAACCGTAGTGATAAACAGTAAACAGTGAATATCCTTCAACATACTCAGGAGGTCGAGTGTCTGGTCCAAGATCTCGGTGTAAAGAAATCCTGTCACTTGCAAAAGCATTAAAACAGTGTTTTGCTTCTCCACGTTCTTTTTCCTTCTGCTCTTCAACACTTAAATTGGTTGTCTTGAATGCTTTACCAGAAGCACCAGGTGCATTAGAATCCTGAGGTGGGCGATCAAGAACGGGTTTCAATTCTGCTGCTGTGTAATATCCTTGCAAACAAGGTCTCTCACCAGCATCAACGTTTTGCCTGACAGGTGCTCCTATTTGCATTTTTGGCATTGCATCTTTAATATTGTTTACAGCTTCTAGCATTAAATCTAACACCTTGTTTTTGTTTTTCATGTTTTTTTCCATCCTTGACTCCTCTTTGGAATATTGAACACTTACTTCTCTTTGCATTAAAATCAAAAATATTATAAAGAAAAAAATTACTCCACCAAGCTTCCAGAACTTTTTATGGTAATGTCTTTTAAGGTGTAATTTTACTAGTCGCTTTACATGAGCCATTCTGACATTAAAAGCTTGTCACTTGACAAATAACAGTTATAGTTTCCTCTGTTACTTATATTTTTTATCATAGATTTGCTGGCAAGAAGTTTTCCTTAAATTGTAATACCTATAAACAGAATAGATAGATAGACGGAATTAGTAGCTATTCATTCTTATAGGTATGGTTCAATTCATTTATTTAGCCATCAACTGAACATAAGCTATAAACAAGGTACTCTTATAGCTAACAAGAATACAAAGATATCTTGCCCACAAGAAAATTGCCCTTTTGGAAGAACACAAGTGCTATAATTAACTACATTCTATTGGGGCTATAAAATACTAGTGATTTCTCTCTAGTAAAAAAAATACATTCTTTGTTAACTCTGGCTAATATCTACTAGATGATATGCATAAATTATTTTTATAAATATATTTGAGTTAAAAAAAAGATATAACTCAATAACCAAGGAGCCAAAGGACTTCTTTAAACTAATTATAAAGAAAAGACAGAATCTATAAGAAAGCAAAGATATACTGACAGGTAGTCAGGCATGTATCTAAAATAGTACTCTTTATTTTATGAAGTTTGCCCTCAACCTATGAACTTCTACTCCAACTAAACCAATTAAGATTATAAAGCAGCTTCACCAACAAGTAAACTGGCATTCCTCCAAATTTGCTTACCTGATAGTACCTGTAAATTCTGACAGAACCAATAAAGATTAGAAAATTAAGAGCCTTTAATGTGTTGTTATATAACAGCTATTTTAATAGCTCACACCAATACAAAATCTAATAGCAAAAAGAAAATGACAGGGGCCAGCCAACTGGCGAAGCGGTTAAGTTTGCACACTCTGCTTTGGCGGCCTGGGGTTCGCAGGTTCAGATCCCAGGTGCGGACCTACACGCCGCTCATCAAGCCATGCTGTGGCAGTGTCCCACACACAAAAAATAGAGGAAGACTGGCACAGATGTTAGCTCACCAACAATCTTCCTTAAGCAAAAAGAGGAAGATTAGCAATAAATGTTAGCTCAGGGACAATCTTCCTCACCAAAAACAGAGAAAATGACAGTAAGCTTACTTGAAGTGTCTTTGAAGAGGCAATAGAGATCATTGAGTTATAAAAGCAGTACTTGGTTTGATGAAATACTGCTTGCAGTTGATCCTAAGAACAGAGCAACATGCTTACTACATCCTAATATGGGCCACCAGGAACAAAAAAAAAGAAAAGAAAAAGAGGACATTGATGAAGCCTGAATCATGGTGAAGGTTGATTTTCTTCATGATGCTTAAAAATATGTAACATGAAAAGGTTTCAGTACACGATTACATACCTTGCACCATTATAGTCAGTCAAGTAATTTGCAAGGGCAAAGAGGCAAGAAAAATGCCTGTCCTCCCTAAATCCTAAACATATTTTAAGGAAAATGTCATTTATGGAAGTGAAAATTAATTTGACACTTTATTCAGCTTCTCTTCCAAAGTTATCACTAAATTTAAAATAAGAAAACCAAGTTCCATGATGGATCCTCTGGCCCTTAGCAAGAACTTTTAAGCTGAATAAACAAAATAGACAGAACTTGAATACCTATTTCTACACACTATTTCTAATTGGACTGCTCTATTTTTTTGTGGTATGGAATGGACACTTCAGCTCCAAAAGATACCTCAATTATGATGTATGTTGCCCAAAAAATGAGATTCCAATACATCTGGGCTTTGGTTACCTTAAGAGTCCCATGTAAGGATTAAAATGACCTCTTAAGCTTTTTACATTATTTGAAGACATAATAGGAGTTTCAGAAGCATACAATTGTGGTTGTGTAATTTTTTATGTGTCAAATGTTGGGCTAAGCTATGGCTACAAGATTAAAGATAACTTTAAGGCCCAGAGAGTAGTATGAAATATGGCACAGCAACAGGCAACCACAAAGCAGTGTGATGTGTGCTATGACGGGGGACTATGAAAGCCACATGGAAGAGAAGGAGAAACGTTAGGGAAAATTTTCCAAAGATGACACCATCATTGAGCAGAATCTTGAAAAATAAGCAATTTTTAGGCAGGCAGACGAGAGAGGAGAGAGAGGGAATGGCAGATGCAAAGGCATAAAAGCAAAAGAAGACATGGCCAGTCCTTGAGTACAGCAGAAGTAGAAAGCACAGGTAGGAAATGGCAGGAGGTGAGGCTGGGAGGTCAGTTAAAGACAAGTTCACAAAGTGAATTTGGAATTTACCAATGTTGTCCTGAATGGATGGAATGGAAAGAACTGAATGATTTTAAGGAAGGTTCATAACCATATTTATGTTTTACAAAAGTCACAGGTTCCTCAGTACCAGTAAAGGTGATGGATATCAAAGAGATGAGAGGACAAGGAAGGACTGAGAGGACTGATTTAAGAGAGTCCAGGAAGTAGAAGCAGATAGGACTTGGTGAGAGAAAGGGAAGAATGGAAGGTGGGTGGGTGAAGTGATGACATTAACAAAAGCAGGGAATATGGAAGGATAGACTTGGAGTGGGAATTAGGGAGATAATTTGTTTAATTTTGGACATGAGAAATCTGAGATGCTGGTAGGACTTCCAAGGCGAGTTCCCATGAGCAAAAAGAAAAATGGGACTGAAAATCAGGGAAAAGCTCTGTCCTAGAGATGAAAATTTGAGAGTCAGTCTTAGGGTGCAGAGGAGTTCACTTACAGTATATAAAGAGGCCAGGGAAATAGCTACATTTAAGGGGTGGGAAGAAAACAGAGAGACTGGAAAGAAAGACCAGGGGAAACAAGAAAACAAAACAAAGGAGAGTCAAGGGAAAATAGACTGACAGATAAAGCATCCATGTCAAAAGGATGTAGATTTTACAATCTGCATCTTATCCTTGAGAGATGTTCATTGTTTGGCAGTTGGTTGATCCTTATAAGTAAAGTTCAACTAGACGTGGTCCATTGGGCTTTAGTGCAAAACCAGAAATGAACTTTGGCAGAGAATCCATTCCAAGATCCTAGGGCTTAGGATCCAGAGTGCTTTCAGACTAACAGACAACAACCTGATCTAAGAGGTTCCAGGAAGATAAGGAGGGGCAAAATGTTGGAGTTTCACAGGATAATGGTCCCTAACCTATGAAATACAACCTGATCACCATTCTCTAACCACAGCTTGACTATAAATAAATAGATATAAATCAACTTATGTTCACCCTCCTTTCTTTCCCTGAGAGAAACACCAAAAATCCCCTTCTACAGTGCTATTCAGCAATACTAGATTTCTTCAGTAAACAGTAGTAGGCAGGCTAGACTAGGAATTTGAAAAGGAATGAACTGGTCTCCTTTTAACACAACATACAACAGGAAAGAGTCCTAGGAAAGCACAGAGTAGAGGGAGATGATAGTACTAAATCCTTCTACAGTAGTGATGGCTTTCCCAAAATATTTTATGCCAGAAATCATATCTGTGGGTAGGGTGGGGAATTAGGAAGAAGGATGGAATTAATGAGGCAGTTAGAAGACAGTTCTTTTTTAGGAATAAATTATAAACTAAAGGAGTTTTCTTCATCAACAGGGCAATAATCCTATCATTGTACATGCTTACCTACCTGAGGAAGTCATTCAATTAGTAGGTGTTAGTTTAGGATGTCTTTAAGGAAAGAGTCAAGGAAAGGTCATGCAGGACATGGATAGTGTCTCTCTTATTCATGGTTGTTTTTCTAGCACTTACCACAATGTTGGTGACATAGTGTGTACCCAATAAATGTTTGTTGACTGGAAAAGGGAAGGAGGACCAAGATTTCATTTATTATTAGAAATAATAAAAACAATAGTGAAGCCCGGTACCTGAGGGTTACTGGATTCAATAAGAACACAATTACCCTTTGACCTTGTTCCCAAAATAGCCATAGATGAAAAGAAGTTAATCTTGTTAATTTGCTATTTTCTTGTTTAACCTGAGGGGTGACTCAAGGGTCACAAGGATTTATGAGCTTGTTTCCCAGAAGAAAAAGAATGCCTTTAAGGAAGTCACCAGATAACCAGCCCCCAGCTGCCCTTGACACCCAGAAGTCTGACTGCCCAAGGGCTTATCTGGAGTGAAAGGAACATGGATTTCCCCTTTCTTTTTCCAAAACTCCTCCACCCAAGCCCCTTAGCTCTATAAAGACCCCCTGTTTTCTTCTTTTGGGAAGGAAGATTTGAGAGAACCTATCCTACCACCTTCTCATTTTGGCCAGCTCGAATAAACCTTTCTGCATCTCCAAGGACAGGTGTCTCAGTGATTGGCTTATTGCACATCGGGCACACAAACTTGAGATTAAGAGGTTCAGTATCAACAGTTAAGTTTTGTTAAATGTTGATTAAGTCCCTGATACCTTAACACTTACTACAAAAATTCTATTCTACTTTTCCAATAATCTTGTGAAGTCTATGTTATTCACATTTTACTGATAAACACTGAGAGTCAAATAGATCAAGCGGCTTGGCCAAGGTCATTTAGCTTAGGAGGAAGAGCAGCATTTCCCCAACTGTGTTCCAACTCAAGTCTGATGTAAGATCTTGAGCTTTTACTGAAGTTATCTGAAAGAAGCTTATTAAGAGTTAAGAACTGATAAGGAGATAAGGAAAACCTAGGAAAAAAACTACAATAGCCTCGTATCACCTCAAGTGAGGTTTTCCAAACAAATGAGTTAAAAAAAAAAAAAAAAAAACTGTTTTCAGAGCATGTTTTTGGAAATAAAGATTGAGGATGGGATTGTAGATCTTGACAATAGAAGATTATTGAGACCTTTTTGAGTCTACTAAAGTAGGAACAGGATGCTTTGCTCTTTTCGGATTATTTCTGAAGAGAATAGTCTTCTTTTATCGATTGCTGATCATTTGAAGAGTTCGACATAGATCTCCCAGGGATTTTATATGACTTTTCTGTTCTTTGCTGCTAATGTGCAACATCAGGCTTCCATTAATGATAAATGACACTCAACATTAGGCATCTCCATCAGTGGTTCTCAACTCTGGATACACATTAGTGGAAAGCTCTTTAAAAATGCAGTGCCTTAGGCCCTACCTCTAGAGAGTTTAACTGTTGTAGGGGTGGGGCCTTGGCCCTGCTTTTGTTGTTATTTTAAACTCTCTAGATAATTCTA